TTTTTTTTTTTTTTTTTTTTGCTATTTCATGTAAAGTCTGGTGGTTAACAGTCCAGCATGTTCTATCCAGGGTTTTTCCAGCTCCCTGCCCTGTCATCCCTACACTGTGGCCTCTGATACTCATGTTATAGAAAGGTGGCTATTTTAGGCTAAGGAAATATTGTTTGGAGAACTGTGTTATTCAGTGTCTTGGTAAAGGACATGATAGATCAGGAAGGTAGAGTGCAACCAGTTTGCCTAGGACCTACATGTCACAGTAAAGAGTTTTAAATAAAATTTTGAGTTATTAAAAAAATTATTTTTTGGTATCAGGAATTAAACTCAGGGGCTCTTAATCACTAAGCCACATCCCTAGCCTTTTTTTTTTTTTTTTTTTTAACATTTTATTTAGATCAAGATCTCACTAAGTGGCTTTGGGCCTTCCTAAGTTGCTGAGACTGGCTTTCATCTCACAGTCCTCCTGCCTCAGCCTCCTGAGCTGCTGGAGTTACAGGTGTGCACCACCATACTTGGCCTGGTAGTGCTGAGAATTGAACCCAGGGTCTTGCACATGTTAGGCAAGCACTGTACCATGGAACTACATCCTCATCCTCTTGAGTTAGGTGTATTTATCCTGAGATAAGGAAAATGGACTTGAGGTCTCCATGAGATCAAGTCCTGAGAGTTATATGTGCATGTGTGAGAAACTATGCACTTGTCATGGAATTTCATAGAAAGGAGTAAAAACCTCTTCTGGGGGCTGGGGTCGTGGCTCAGGGGCTGGGGTTGTGGCTCAGAGGTTGAGTGCTAGTCTAGCATGCGTGAGGCACTGGGTTCGATCCTCAACACCATATAAAAATAAAATAAAGGTATTGTGTCCACCTGTAATTAAAAGCAAATAAATAAATATATATATATATATATTTTTTTTTAAAAAAACCCTCTTCTGTACTTTAAGGGACTCACAAGGGTATTTGAGCAGATACAAAGAAATTAATTTTTTAGGATGGTTGACTTGATAGCTTTAAAGTAGATTTTATTGTTTTGGGCTTTGTGTATGTGTGTGTGTTGGGGGGGGTGGGGGGTGGGGATTGAACCCAGCACCTTGCACATGCTAAGCAAGTACCCTACCACAAAAGTCCCAAAGTAGATTTTATTATCTTTAATTTGCAAATGAAGAAACTAAGACTAAGAGAGGTTAAGGACTTAAGTCCTGCAATTATTAAGCAGGAAAGCTAGACCTGAAACCAAGGGCTCTGTTCCTAATTATGTAATTCACTTCATAATGGTAGCTTTGATGGGAGGGAGTGTGTGTGCTTGTGTATATGCACAAATTTGTGTGTTGTTTTCCTGGTGCAGGTACGTAGGAGGGCAGAGGTACCCCTGACTGGTTAGAGAAACCCAGAGGAATATGCTTAATTGGTGGGAAAGATAATACATTTATCTATTTATTAATTTTTAAAGAATTTTTTTGATATTTATTTTTTAATATCTGGTGGACACAGCATCTTTTTTTTTTTTTTTAATGTGGTGCTGAGGATCAAACCCAGCGTCCCACGCATGCCAGGTGAGCACACTACTGCTTGAGCCACATCCCCAGCTCAAGTTAATACATTTATATTGGATGTGTTGAGTCTGAGAGATGCCGGTCCTATGGCAGGAGCTGGTACATTAATAGACTGCCACCACGCCCTGCCCCAACGTATATATTCTTTTTTTCTCCCAACATATATATATATATTTTTTTTTTTAAATATTTGTTTTTTAGTTATAGGTGGATACAATATCTTCATTTGTATGTGGTGCTGAGGATTGAACCCAGTGCCTCACGTATGCTAGGCAAGCGCTCTACCTCTGAGCCACAACCCCCCCCCCCCCCCCCCCCGTAATGTATATATTCTTTACAAAAGAATATATAATTTCTAGCCAGGTGCAATGGCACACACCTATAATCCCAGGGACTTGGGAAGCTGAGACAGAAGGAATGCAAATTTGAGGCCAGCCTCAGCAATTTAGTGAGATTCTTCCTCAAAATAAAATACAAAAAAGGTCTGGGCCCCAGCACCACACACACACACACACACACACTCTCCCACACACACACACACACACACAAAAGGTGTGTGGAAATAAAGTTCAGTTGTAAAACACCGTGGGTTTAACTCTAGTAAACTCCCTCTCCCCCAAATATAGAATTTCCCCCTTGATTATAGTAAAAAATATGTGTTCGTGGTTGAAAATGTGGAAAATACAGAAAAGGATTTGGAAAGAATGAAAATCTTGTCATTGTGACCAGAGATTTTGTCATTTGTTGTATTTCTACTCTGTGTATGGCCACATATGACTTAGTATGTTTTATGTACTAAAGTGGTTGGAGCTGTGACTCTAGACTAGGCAGGTTGGAAATTAAGAGTTGGAGAGGTTTATGTCTAGGGAGACTTGCTGAGTTCAGGGAAGACTTCTGGAGAGGGAAGGATTTGTGCTGCCTTTTGAAGATGGGTTTGATTTGGCAGGTGGGGGTCAGGATAGGGAAGCCTTAGGCTGGCCTGTGGACAGTGGGGAGATCTGTGTGGCTAACTAAGCATTGTTCAGGGGAAGAATTGTATGGGAGCTGGGGGATGGCTGTGAAGGTTAGGTGGCCTGCATTTAGATGACTTTGAGTACCGTATGGAAATGTAGGATGTATTCTGCCAGCAGTGGGCATCTGGGACAGTTCTGAGCATGACTGTAATTTATCCACACTTAATCTAACATAATAACAGCCTCAGTTTCCTCTGGAAAGTGTGGCACACTTACCAGGTTTTTGAGGCAAAGTCCTTTCATCTCTATAGCATGGCAGTGACACCTATCGCTCTTCCTAAGTAGTGCAGGATCCTCTCTATTCCCGCTTTGCGGGGTATGCAGTGGAAGCTCCTAAATGCATGTTAATCCTGAATCTTATCCTTTTATGTTTACTTGCATGACACATATTTGTAGAATAAAGCATTTAAGGATTTGGAAAGAATGAAATCTTTTTTTTTTTTTTAAATATTTATTTATTTATTTTAGTTCTTGGCAGACACAACATTTGTATGTGGCGCTGAGGATCGAACCTGGGCCGCACGCATGCCAGGCGAGAGCGCTACCGCTTGAGCCACATCCCCAGCCCCAAGAATGAAATCTTAAGACCAGAATATCTTGCTAACCCTGGACGATAGGATGTATTTATTGCTCACTTTTCCTTGGGTTTTGGCTCTGATTTTCAGGTTTTCAAGCCTATGGCTGATGCTGCTGTGAAAATTGTGAAGAAAAATGGCTTCAGTGATAAAATTAARGTTATCAACAAGCATTCCACTGAGGTGACTGTAGGGCCAGGTGAGATATACATCGCCTGTATTGAAAGTTTTATTTGTTCTTGTATGAGAGAGGAAAACATTTTTTCCAACTACCTGGAATAAATCCAGGTCCTCTGTGTAGTGGCTCTGACTTTATGCACTTTGTTTCTTTTGATGTTTATCAGTCTTCTAGTTAAAACAAATCAGCTATGAAAACACCAGAGCTAATCAAGYGTAATAGCAGTCATACAAACAAAAGCTTATTTTTCCTTTCTTTTCTTCTTTTTTTTTTTCAGTACTGGGGATTGAACTCAGAGCCTCACACATTTTCTACCACTGAGCTATATCTCAAGCYCTGAAAACTGCTTTTGCTTTAAGCAAGTTGGAATTCTTATATGGCCAACTCTCTAAAGTTTGGTCAGACAGAAGTGAAACTAAGATAGCAGGAAGAAGCTTATATAGTTCTGATATCATGTCTCAGCATGTAACATGTGACATTTTCCTGTATGGCACATGCTCTTGAGGTATCCAGCGTATTTTTAATAGTCTAGTAATTTGATTCGGACTTCTAAAATTTCACATGCCATGTTTAGAGAGCACAATTGAAACATTTGCACACACAAATAAAAATTTTCTGTGGTATGTTATGGGTATCACTAATTTTTTTGAAAATGCAATATTTTAGGAGTGAAGCATCTATCTAAAGTCAGTATGTTTCTTCATTTAAAAGAATATTGGGCCAGGCRCAATGGCATATGCCTGTAATYCCAGCAACTTGACGGGCTGAGGCAGGAGGATTTTAAGTTCAAAGCCAGCCTCAGCAACTTAATGAGGCCCTAAGCAACTTAGTGAGACCCTGTCTCAAAATGTAAAATAAAAAGGGATGGGGATATGGCTCAGTGGTTAAATGCCCCTAGGTTCCACCCCTGGTACCCGCCCCCCCCAAAAAAAAGGGCTGAGGATGTAGTTCAGTGGTAGAGCACTTGCCTAGCATGCACAAGACTTTGGGTTTAGTTGCCAGCACTGCAGAAATAAAAGTAACAATAATAATAATGATGATAACTGAAACTATTGTTCTTATATGAAGAATCTGAAATATATAAAAGAACAATTTTGTCTTTTATTTTAAAACATAACAAACATACAMATAAGTGTGGAAATCATCTATTTTTTAAAAAAGGGAAAAGAACACACAAAATTTATTATAAGCCTAAGGCATGGGAGTATTAGACTCCCGTTATCCAAATTTTAATCAACATTATCAGGGTTTGATTCACATGAAAGAATGAACTTATTTTAAGAGTATTGTTTAGTGAGTTTTGTCAAATAGAAACACATTTGTAACCATCACCACAATCAAGATAATAGGATATTGACACCATGCCCAAAAGATTCCTCATGACCCTATCCTTAGTTCCCAAATAGCCTTGGCTCTATTGTACCCATTGATGCACTTTCTTTAGGATAGGTCTATCCTTTCTAGAATTTCAAGGAAATGGAATTTTAGCAGTGTTGTCAGTGTGTATTCTTTTGTTTCTGCTTTTTTAGTTTATCATTGAAGTTTTAACATTGTTTTATTTCTGCCGTCTCTTTTCTAAGAAAAAATWTAATTGATTCATTTTTTTTCTGGCTCTGGGTCACATTTTTTCCTTCTTCATATGTTTAGTAATTTTTTTTTTTTTTTTTTTGGTACTGGTGTTTGAGCCCAGAGGTACTTTACCACTGAGACAGTGTACATCACCGTGCCTAGCTGTTGTCTTCTTTAAAAATGTTGGCATGAGTTGGGTCACTTGACTCTACCCAGTAGATGCCCGGAACACTCCCCTCACACCCATCATTTGSGCCAACTAAAAATGTTTCAGACATTTATAAATGTCCCAGTATCTAAGGCAGGGCAAAAGTTCTACCTGTCAAGAACCACTGCTGGGCTGTGGATGTGGCTCAAGCGGTAGTGCACTCGCCTGGCATGTGTGCGGCCCGGGTTCAATCCTCAGCACCACATACAAACAAAGATGTTGTGTCTGCCGAAAACTAAAAAATAAATATTAAAATTCTCTCTCTCTCTCTCTCTCTTAAAAAAATAAAAAATAAATAAAAAAAAAAAAGAACCACTGCTCTAAGACTACTTTGACCAGACTGTTGTGGTATGAGTAGGGCCTCTGCAAGGATTCTGTAGTCTGGGTGATCAAAACTTGAGTGTTCCTAGTCCTCTGAGGGTTATGGAAATTGTTCAGCTTTGCYTGGCTTTGCAGAATCTTACCCTGTGTTTAAGATTTAAGGAGAACCCTGTGGTTCACAAGCCCTTGTTCTGTGTAACTTTTTCTCTGGCTCCCTCCCCTGGTCAGTTCTAGCTGCCTCTACTTTCTTGAACTCTAGTTTATGTATGTGTAGCTCAGCAGGACTGCTGTGCTCTGCTTTACTTCTTGGCCCTTGGACTAATATCTGGAAAGTGCCAAAAGCCAGGCAGTAGGAACATTCACTGATTTGTTTCTCTCTTGGGGAACAAATTGTGTTGCCTCTTTTTCACTGTCTAAAACAYTTGCCCAGTTTTTTGGTTGATGATGGTGGACAAATAAGTCTGATTCCTCATACTCCATAGTGGCCCAAAGTGGGAGGTCTTTCACTTTTGAAAATTTGTCTTGACAGCATGGAGACTAGCCTATAAAGGAGGCCTTGCATGGAATGCTGTTCTTGTGACTCTGCTCCATGCCCTTGTCCAGGCTTTGTTCACATACTCTGGATTAGACCAGGTCCCTTGTGTGCTTTCTTCATACTTTTCCTTTGGGCACTTATTACTGCAATAGCTAAATAATTAAGTAGTTGTCCACTTAATTTCTGTATCCCTTTACAGCTGCATATTCGGTCATGGTCCAGGTAGATTTTACTAATAATTCCATTCCCTATCTGCACATGGCCTGGCACATTAAGGGATTCAGAGATAATTTGTTTAGTGAGTAGATTGTTAACCTTGCTTGGTATGTAACTTCTTGTAAATGGACTTTTTTTTTGGTACCAGGGATTTAACCCATGGGATTTGTTTTTAACCCCATCTCTACAAGTTTCTTCATCTTTGACAAGTTTGGTATCTTCCTGTTTCCCTTCTCTAATCATTGCAGGATAGGTGWTTCTCCCATTCATTCCTTTCAAAATCTCTCTTCCTGGGTCCCAGGGACATTTCCTAGTCTTGGTTCTTTTTTGTTATGTTCTTTCTGTTCTCAAATGTGTGTTCTCCAAGGTTCTGTTTGTGCCCTTTTTACAAATGGCATATAAGTTTGTGGTTTGTTCCCCAGAGATGGATTACGTAGCAATCATGGGTAGTAGCAGTTGCTTACCCATYCATTCTGTTCACTTGGCAAAGATTTAGGAAGTGACTGGAGTAACTGCCCCACTTTACGCCTCTCTGTACCTCCCCCTCACACTAAATACCAGGTTCTCAAGAAATATTTATTAAAATTCACCAGGTCATAAAGTTTTGTATTTATTTTAATGAAGCAAATTGGGACGATAYATCATTTTAAGTTTTATAATTGGCTTAAAAATTATTTTGGAGGGGCTGGGGATGTGGCTCAAGCGGTAGCACGCTCACCTGGCATGYGTGCGGCCTGGGTTCGATCCTCAGCACCACATACAAACAAAGATGTTGTGTCCACCGATAACTAAAAAATAAATATTAAAAAATTCTCTCTCTCTCTCTCCCTCTCTCTCACTCTCTCTTTAAAAAAAAATTATTTTGGAAGGGCTTGGTGATTGATTGGCTGTGGAATGACACAGTTTTGTGTGTGTGTGTGTGTGTGTATTGAACCTAGGGCCTTGTGCATGCAAGGCAAGCACTCTACCCACTGAGCTATATCCCCAGCCTGACAGAGAGGAATAAAGAATTCAGCTAGTGTTCACTAGTTGACTATTAGTAGATGCTGTGTTGTCCTAGGCACCAGGATACAGTAGTGAATGGGTAAGGCAGGGTTCCTGCTCTTTGGGAGCTGATAAATTATGCCATTTTTTGGGCAATGTGATTGGGCAGAAACACATCAAGGAGGAGCAGATATGTGGCAGTAGGGTGGGGTCAGTTTGGGATAGTGTATTCCAGTTGGATTTTGGCATCACAGAAAGATGGGCAAGGCCACTTGAGTGAATGGTCTTTGTGCCAGGAAAAATAAGTTTTTTCTTTACCTCTTTTACTAAATACTGCCATTAAGCACACAAGTGTACTTCAGAGGAAGGGGATGATTTTTTTTATCTTTGATGTACTACTAATCAATACCATGTGAGTCAGAGCTCATTCTCTTTGTTTTATGAATGAGGCAACTGATGGTCAGAATCGAGGATTCAGGACTAGAAAGCAAGATCCAGTCCAGGCCTGCAGGACTTCAAGGCATAAGCTTTCTCTACTACAACCTGCTGAACCATTTTATGTTTCTCTTTTCTAGCATCATCTGTGTGACTTGTCCTCTGTGTAGGGAAGATGAGTGGGCTTTGTCAAATTGTAATTCATGAGTCATTTTAAGTGTTTACAGTTATTTCTCCATGATCAATGGCCCCTTCTAAAGTCTATTTTGTCTCTTGGCTCATTAAAATTTATAATTTTGTAGAAGTAGCATTTCATTATAGAGGTTTAGAAAACAAGAGTTAMCAACAACAAAAAACACCCTGTTCTAAAACAGCAGTTATTTAGGAGATTGTTGGGTGGCAAGAAACCAACTTAATTAAGAGGATTTAATGGAAGGAATCTGGGGATTCTAAATCATGAATTACAATTTTGGTGGTTGTAGTCAGACTCCCAGTGAATAAGTCATCAGACAACCTCTCTTGCTTTGGTTTTCTTGCCCTTTTTCAATAGCCTAGAAGTATTTGAAGTACTTGAAGTATTTGAAGTATTCAGTTTTTTCTTTCCAAATAATTTTGCTAGTAAGATAGAAAAAATTCCACATAGTTGACTGATTTATTTTCAGTTTGGACAATTTGGAACTTTCCCCACCCCTGCTTTTTTCCCGTCTTTTTGTTTGTGGTTTGAGGGATCAAAATCAGGGTCTCAAATATATTGGGCAAGTGCTCTACCTCTTCAGCTATAGCTCCAGCCTTCTCTAATTGTATTTTTATCAGATTTTCTTTTTGGGTTTTTATTTATATTATTATTATTTTTTTCAAGACTCTCCCCCATTCTTAAACATACAGAAAAGTTGAAAGAAAATGCAGAAAGCACCCATTTTCCTTGAACCTGGATTTGTGAGGTTGCCATTTTTCCATATATATATATATATTTTTTTTTTTTTGTGTGTGTGTGTGTGTGTATGTGTGTGTGTGTGTACTGAACCATTGGGTTCTCTGACACCATTCCCTTTTGTTTTTCAGATGGTGACATGCCATGCCGAGCCAATATCCTGGTCACAGAGCTGTTTGACACAGAACTGATTGGAGAGGGAGCACTGCCCTCCTATGAGCATGCACATAGGCATCTTGTACAGGTAGTGGGGTCAGGGCCTCCCTTGGGAGTGTTGTTTTGATTTCAGCCACTGTGCACACAGTGCTCACTACTGCATCTTGTTTAACACAGTTCTTAGTAGCTCTTCATACACCCTGAAGCACCTGTTAATTYTTGGGAGGCATGGTAGTGCTGAGGCAGAGAGACCCTGTGTAGCTGGGCCAGTGTTGCACACCTATAATCCCAGTGACTTGGGAGATTGAAGCAGGAGGGTCATAAGTTTGAGGCCCCACTGGGCAWTTTAGGGAGATCTTGTCTCAAAGTAAAAATTAAAAAGGGTTGGGGCCAGGGATGTGGCTCAAAGGTAGAGCATTTGCCTGACCKGCATGAGTCCCTGAGTTCAATCTCCAGCACTGCTAAATAAATAAAGACAAATTTAAAAAGGGAGAATTGGGGATCCCAGCATAGTGCTAGAGTGCCCCTGGGTTCAATCCCAGTACTGGAAGGAAAAAAAAAGAGAGAGAGAGWGTCTATGTAATTACAAATGAGTATCCTCTTCACTGCCTGATCCCTAGTGCCTGATGTGTAGATGGATAGTTGAAGTAGGAGAACAGCTAGAGAGAAGGCTAGAGCTACATCCAACAGGTTAGGTCAGTTGAGGGTGGATGGTTGTCCATTAGACTTTGAAGTAAGGAGGTTCTGGTCCTGGTGCCTGGGGAAGAGTGTGCTGAAAGGATGCTTTTGAGTCCTGGGCTAGAATCACTGCTTGGCAGTAAGACTTAAATTCTGTCTTYCAAGTAAGTCATAGGAGTTCATCAACATGGTGACAATTAAGGTTTRTTTTTGAAGTATTTAATAGTACCAGATAGCTAGGAACTTAACTGATTTAAATCATTTTAGGTGTTATTATATTATTTTTGAAATGTAGTTTCTTTTTTTTTTTTTCTTTTCCTGAGGACATAAGACTAAAAACAATGCACTATCCTGATAGTGGGAAGGTATTAGATATTACTGAATTAGCCTAATGAACAATAGTGATCAAAATTACTGTGGGTCAGATGCCTGATTTATTGTTGTTCTTTTGTTTTGTGTTTACATAAACTTAGGAAAATTGTGAAGCYGTGCCCCACAGAGCAACTGTGTATGCGCAGCTGGTAGAGTCCAGAAGGATGTGGTCCTGGAACAAGCTGTTTCCTGTCCGTGTTCAGACCAGTCTTGGAGAGCAGGTCATCATTCCTCCCTCAGAACTGGAGAGATGCCCTGGTGCACCTTCTGTCTATGACATACAGCTGAACCAGGTGTCACCTACTGACTTCACTGTCCTCAGCGATGTGCTGCCTATGTTCAGGTACCAAGGAGCCTCCCTGAGTGAACAGGGCTTTGAGACAGCTGATGAAATTTGGGTCTTTGGAAGTTATTTTTGCTTGGGAAGAAAACCTAGCTGCAACCAAGTATCCTTTTTGATGAGTTCACCATAGAAGCTTAACAATGCAGTGTTGAGATTAAATTATGTTTCAATTCCTGAATATCCTTTCACAGTGTGGACTTCAGCAAACAAGTCAGTAGTTCAGCAGCCTTCTATAGCAGACAGTTTGAACCTCTGGCATCTGGCCAAGCTCAAGTGGTTCTCTCCTGGTGGGACATTGAAATGGACCCTGAAGGGAAGATCAAGTGCACAATGGCCCCCTTTTGGGCTCATTCAGACCCAAAGGGGCTCCAGGTAAGAGGCACTAGCTGAACATATTTGCATGTAACTCAGGAAACTTGTATACTTTTGTTCATGGGAAAGTAACCCATTGAGCCTTCAATGGTAAGAATTTAGAGACAGAAGGAATGGTCAGCGTTAAGAGTTTTTTCTTAAAAAAAAAGCACAGGGAAAAATAGAAAAGAAGCACAGGGGACTGAGGATGGAGTTCTGGTAGAGTGGGTGCCTAGCTTGACTTGTGGCCCTGGATTCTAGCCCTAGTGCTTCAAAAAATAAATGAATAAAAAAATTAAAGCACAGACTAGCTATGGTAAGATAGACGTCTTGGGATGAGTTCATGATCATCACCAAAAGTCATGGTTTGCAACACAGAAGTCTTAGTTAGCTTTGCTGCTGTCCTTCATCCTGGCAAAACTATTTTCTTGGGATATTTCCCCTGGACCCCAAATAATTCCAGGAGGCAAGGGCTCAGATAAATGTAATAGAGAACCGCAGACTCACTTTCTGCGGCTTTAAACTCCCATCTTCTATAGCTCAATGGAAAGTGGGTRAAGAATATGAACTACAAAAAGGAGACAGATTACTCATCAACATGTGATAAGTTGTTTCCCCTCACTCATAGTAAGGAACTACAGCTTTAAACAGCAATGAAAATAAAAACTAAATAAAGTACTGTGAGATACCATGTTTACCTATTAGTGGATAAATTTGGTAGCACACTTGATGATGAAGCTTAGGGAAAAAGCAGGAAAGTGAACCATCAGAACACCCATTGAGCACAGTGTGGCTCGGTCCTGGTGAAAAGTGATGCCACTTGTAGATATTYGGGCTCTGGTAGATTTGCATATTTGCAGAAAAATGTACATGCAGAATGCTCACCAAAGCCCTAACTTAGTAGAAAAAGAACAACATAAAGACTGCCTGTAAGAACTCCTTGGGTCATTATCCTATATCCTTTCAGTGAATGAGGTAGCTCTCTAGGCACTGGTGTGGAACAATCTCCAGGATGTTTTTTTTTTTGTTTTTTTTTTTTTAAATCAAACAATAGTCTTTATTTTTTCAAGTRCTTTAAGTAATTCCATTTAAAGCTTAAAAGAAGAGGTCTCAGGGAATTCTTGACTGCACTAATCTTATCCRTATTTTTTATTTTGTTTTTTTAATTTATTCTGATTTGTTATACATGATGGCAGAATGAAGTTCATTTCATATTACACATATAGAGCACAATTTTTCAAGTCACTAAAATTATACACAAAGTATTTTCACACCATTCGTGTCTTCATACATGTACTTAGGGTAATGGTATCTAACTCATTCCACCATCATTCCTATCCTCYACCTTCTCCTTTCCCCTCCCTCCCCTTTGCCCTATCTTCAGATCCTCCATTCCTCCCATGCCCCCTCTACCCCATTGCCATTATGAGTCAGCATCCAGGATGTATTTTTGAGTGAAACAAAAATAAAAATGTTGAGCCAGGCATGTTGGTGCATATCTGTAATCCCAGCAATTTAGGAGGATTCCAAGTTCAAGGCCAGCCTGGGCAACTTAGTGAGACCCTTTCTCAAAATAAAAATTTTTAAAAAGGGCTAGGCAGTAGCTCAGTGGTAGAGTGCCCCTGAGTTTAATCCCTAGTACTGCAAAAAAAAAAAAAAAAAAAGTAGAATGGTGTATGATATGCCAGCATTGGATATGAGTGTACATGTGGTGAACATAAGGATATCTTTGGAAGAATTCACAGAAATTGGTAACAGTTGTTGTTCCTGAGTGGTGGCTCCTGGAGGTTAGGTGAGGAAAAGAAACATTTTTTTATCATATATCCTTGTATCATTTGAATTGTCTCATGTGCATGAAATGTCTACCCTGCCCACACACTCAACAGAAAATAAACAGTGAAAGGTGTTTTAGGGCCAAGATATAAAACYTTCTCTCTTCCTTTGAGCATCTCAGGCACCATCTTTTTGGTGTTACTACTTTTTTTTTTTTTTAAAGGGGGAGAGAGAGAGAGAATTTTAATATTTATTTTTTAGTTTTTGGCGGACACAACATCTTTGTTGGTWTGTGGTGCTGAGGATCGAACCTGGGCCGCACGCATGCCAGACGAGCGCRCTACCGCTTGAGCCACATCCCCAGCCTCTACTACTGACTTTTGTTCCAACTTTCCTCAGTAGCCTTAGTCCTCTGTTGGCTAAGTGCCCACACATGCGCACATCTGTGTAGGCGGAGGGGGGCTGGTCAGAATTCAATCTTAGAATGTTAAAACTTTATTTGCATATCCTTAGATTGTTATTGTGTATTTTCTCTTTTAATCTACATATAAGATATGCTAAGTAACCACAGCAATACATAGACTCTGAAAGTTCAGGAACAGGCTTAGTTCCTTGTGTCCAGGAAGCAGTGATGTGATTCTAGTCCTTAGTTCTTCAGACTATGAATCTTGTGTCCTTTCTCTTAAGAGTGGTAACTTTTCAATTGTCTGGAATTTGAAAGCTGCTAATGAATTTCCCTCATGAATTCATGAGACTGCTTTAATCCCATTTAGCCTGTTGTACCTTGGAACAGAGGTTTTGCTACCAGCTTTTTAGCATTAGGATCTGGGGGACTCCCTGTGTGGAGAATGTGGGAAGGACAGGTGATAGGGAAGCACCCTAAGAGCCATAAGGGGTAAGGAAGGCTTCTCCTGTCATCAGGAATGAATGACAGGTTTAAGAACTTGTTTTATTTTTATTTTATTTTTTTTAATATTTATTTTATTTAGTTCTCGGCGGACACAACATCTTTATTGGTATGTGGTGCTGAGGATCGAACCCGGGCCACACGCATGCGAGGCGAGCGCGCTACCGCTTGAGCCACATCCCCAGCCCCTTGTTTTATTTTTTTCTCCTTGTTATTATTGTAGTTTTTCCAGAACATACCTGGTTGAATTTTCATTTTCCAGCCTGTATGTTCAACAGAGATCTTAGATTTTGTTAAATTTGTTAAATTTTTGTTAAGTTTGTTAAATTTGTTAAATTCAAGTCTAGATGGGGTGGGATATGTCCCTGAGAAGTGGGACAAGCCTCGGGCTTCATTTGCTGATGATTAAGCCATGTCCTAGGAGTCTCACAGCATGAAATTTTTCCTAGTTCCTAAGGATGACAGAATGGACAGGCATCATCATGGTGGAGCCAAGCATCCAGTTTTTAGGGAGTTCGTTTTTTTTTTTTTTTTTTTTTTTAAACAACGCTATTGCATTCGTTTTTGAAAAGAGATTATAAATCTGATTTTATAAATAAAAGTCCACTTGTGGTCCCAAAATAATTACCTTTTTTGATCTCTTTCCAAATGTGGATATTTGTTGATGCTTAAGCTATCTGTGTTATAGCCATGTACATTGACACATCTGTAATCCCAGTGACTCAGGAGACCGAGGCAGGAGGATTGCAAGTCTGAGGGTAGCCTTAACAACTCAGTAAAAACCTGTTTTAAAATTAAAAAGCCTCAGGCAGTAGCAGAGCACCTGCTTAGCATGCACGAGTAAGTTGCAGAATTTAACATTTTACTGTTAAATACCTCAACATAGATCTCCTAAGAATAAAATCTTCAACAGAAGCAAAATACCATTATTGCTCTTAAGAAAACTAATAGTAGCCAGGAACAATGATGCACACCTATAATCCCAGCAGCTTGGGCCGCTGAAACAGGAGGATAACGAGTTCAAAGCCAGCYTCAGCAAAAGGGAAGCACTAAGCAACTCAGTGAGACCTGCTTCTAAATAAAATACAAAATAGGGCTGGGRATATGGCTCAGTGGTTGAGAGCCCCTGAGTTCAAACCCCAGTACCMCCCAGAAAAGAAAACTAATAGTAATTCCTTGATAACTTCTAATATGTATGATTCAAAATAAATTTTCCTTGTCACCAAATRTCTTCAGTAGTTTTTGTTTTTTCCCAATCCAGGATCCAGTTAGGTTTTATGTAATACATTTGACCTTTTTTGGGTTTTGAAGTCACTTAGAAGACAAAGGAAATTGTGAGTATGTTAAACCCTGTAGAATAGAAATGCCATGGGACTTTTCAGGGCAGGGTCTGTTACATACCAATAGGTAAAACCTTGTTTGGGAGTCAGGAAATTTTTCCCTCAAATAAAATATGACATAGCCCAGCAGATTAAAGAGAACACTGACACTACTCTGTGGGTAGGGACTGAAATCTGTACTTTTCTTTTCTCCTGAGCCACTCTGGAGACTACTACCCATGGCCACGTTGTATCTTCCTAAAACCAGCAGGGTTGCAACAAGCTTTTGTGCCACTGGGTTCTCTGATTTGAGAATTTTTTTCTTTATCTCTTTGGCCACAGTAGCCAGCTATAGTCTGTACCATGTCTCCCTGCAAACTGATATTTGGCCTGGCTTTTAGCCTCTGGATTAGAAGTGTTGCTTTTGTTGCAGCTTGGTGACAGCTGGCTCTGTTCCTTATTTCAGTGGCGGGATCATTGGATGCAGTGTGTGTACTTCCTGCCACAAGAGGAACCTATTGTACAGGGCACAACCCACTGCCTGGTAGCCCACCATGATGACTACTGTGTATGGTACAGCCTTCAGAAGACCAGGTAGGCCTACAGGTTGTGGAGGTAGAGGACTGGGCTTGTAGACTGCATATTGATGTAAATTCCTCATGAAGAGACCCTATAGAGATGTGAGTGTGCAGCTTTGTTTCTAAACAGAATAAGAACAAAGGTTTGTGGCTGTGTCAGAGACCATTTGTGTATACTCAGAAGAGGCTTTCATGGTTTGCTGGACTCCATTTAATCCTATTTTATATAAAAAGTCTGCAATCAGAGGGCCCTGTAACCTCCAGTGCCTACTCAAGAGCCATTGTTCAGACTCATACCCTATAGAGAGACCCTTAGGGCCCAGGTCAAATTCCACTGGGCAGGTTCCTATGCCGTGCCTACTCGCTCTCTGGCATCTAGCAGGTTGTGTTCATCACCTGTCTCTGTTCATTTTCTGGTTTAGCCCTGAAGAAAATGGGAGAGTCCACCAAATGCGCCCTGTCTGTGACTGCCAAGCTCACCTGCTCTGGACTCGACCTCGATTTGGAGAGATCAATGATCAGGATAGAACTGATCAGTATGCCCAGGCATTGAGGACTGTGAGTGTCTGACCCTTTGGTTCCCATAGACTCCAGCATTCTGCTTATGATTTACTAATCTTGTTTTCTGTGTTCCCTCATCTGTAAGTGGCTTCTGCTGGCTCCATCTGGGGTGGGTACTAGAAAGCCAGAGAACTTACTCTGGACTTCCAAAGGACTTGGTGTCTGTTCCTGTGAGAGTTCCTCTGAGAACAACAACAAGTTCTCCCCAGCCCATATCTTTCCTGCTGAACACCTTTGCTTTTGTGGCTACCAGCCATCAGTGTGGGTGAACCCAGTGACATTAGCCACCCATCTTTCCATCTGTTGCTACTTTCTAAAATCTTCTAAAATGTGAATTTGTCCATGGAACTTCCTGTACTGAAAACCTATGTTGCTGCTGCCTATAGAGGGCACTTAGACTGGGGACCCCAGGTGGAGTTTAAAGGGGACCTCTTGGACCCCTTGAAGTTATATACAGAAATCCATGTGCATGGGTACACATGCATGCCTTTTTCAGTGAAAGAAAGGATCCAAGCTGTCCTAAATTCCTCAGCAAGGAATCTGATCTATAGAGGTACCTCTGCCTTTGGGGAGTCACTTGAGAACACATGGGTCAGATCGAGAAGAAACTTATCATTGAAGACTGGAGGTGACTTCCTGCAAGTGGGACAGGCCTTCAGTCAGGTCTGCTAGGTGGGTTGAGGAGCATCTTTCCAGGCAGTGGRCACAAATGGGGAGATGTAAGCAAAAGTGGGGGCTGGTTACTGCATAGACCCTGTAGACAGACATGACAGCATGGGGACCCAAGAGGATCCAACTTAGCAGTGGGGAAAATGGAATGAAATCAATTTTATTATCAGACCTTGTACATGGGATTGGGAAAAGGGAAGCCTTTCTCTTATGTTGCCAGTAGGAATCTCCTAAAAAACTAAGAAAACTTTGTTCTCAGTGTTCTTTTCCTGCAGGTGCTGACCCCAGACAGYGTTTGCCTGTGTGTCAGTGATGGCAGTCTGCTCTCCATGCTGGCCTRTTACCTCGGGGCAGAGCAGGTACTGGACATGTGTCTTTCTCTTGGCTTCCTRAGGTTGAATCTTTCCTCTTTCTCTTTTTAATTTCATTTATTTTTATTTACTTTTCTTTTTTGTTTTGCTGTTTTTCATTATTAAAAGTTCATTGAGTTAGGGCATTGTGTGATTCCTATACACAATTCTGTAATCAAAGCTCTTTGCAAGTRCAGGTGTGTAGAGTGTGGTTGGTTTAGGAGCCGGGGGATTTTCCTGCAAGTCAGGCTGTAACAACTGCCATGAAAATGCAGCTCAGAGTTCTGAGTTGGCCACCTTGCCAGGGTCAGTGCCCAAAGTAGGTGCTGTCCCAGGTAGGTGGTCAATACAGAGTTATTTGAGTGAGGTCTTCTTCCCTGGAATAGTTTTGTCATTTTTTTATCCTGGATTTCCTCCTCTGCTAGTGCATCTCTGGTAACTCATAGCTGTTCTCTCTAGGTATTTACAATTGAGAGTTCAGCAGCTTCCCATAAACTGATGAAAAAAGTAAGTTATGATTGTTGTTACTGAATTAACAAGGGGACCTTTGGGGTTTTCTTTCCTGAGTATTGGATGGGTCTTTACAGCAACATTGGTACCAAAGAGATGAGAGAGAAGTAGTTGCTGCATTGAGAGCCTTTTTTTGTGTGTGGCCAGAGAGCTGGCCTGGACATTTTCTGAGATTAGCATCAAAGTAGAAGCAAACATTTGGACTCTGCTTTGGGGTTTGTGGATGAAGAAGTTTAGGCTTTTTTCCTCACTTCACATAAAACTAAGAAAACTAAAATCCCTTCAGCTCTACAACKGAGTGATTTGTGCTCAGGGAGTAACTGCCTTCACCTTGACTAGAGATGCCATTTCTCTCCCTGGCAGTGATTGATTTCCTTTCCAAAGGATAACCTGCCTCCACCAGAACTGCAAGCCTGTTGCTGGATCCTGCCATGTGCCTATAAGAAAAATGTCTGTTGCTAGCACAGAATTTGCTCATGACCTCATCCTTGGTCTGTAGGAGGCCTCTTGAGARGGCCTCACAAAATAGATAAAAGAGTTGTCCTCCAGAGACATTTGGCCAGAAAACTCAAAGCAGAGAAGACAACTTGAAGAAGTGTTTTTTTGTTTTTAATTTTTGCCATGCTGGGGATTGAACSCAGGGCCTCACACCAGGCAAGTGCTGTACCACTGAGCTACACCCCAGACTGAGTTTTTTTGTTGTTGTTGTCGTTGTTTTCTTTTTTCTTTTCCTGGACCAAAATAGTATTTATATTTATTTTCTTTCTAATTATATTTGTTTTCTTTCTAAGATCTTCAAGGCTAACCACTTGGAAAATAAAATTAATATCATTGAGAAACGGCCCGAGTTACTAACGACTGCAGACTTGGAGGGTAAGAAGGTGAGGAACAGGAACTGCGGCCACACTTGGGCCCTGTTAGGTTGGATAGCACAACACTGAGGTAGCTTCAGCTCTACCCTGTCCTGTGGGCCTCATGGTGTCCCCCATGTAGCTTACCAGCTGAGAAGGGCATGGTGGGTATTTGTACAGAGGCCCCACAAGTACACAACTGCACTACTCAGGTGAGGACAGTGCAGCCTGCAGGGGTTAAAGGAGCAGAGTGTTCCCTCTCTCTTTCTCTTGATAGCACTCTCTTCTTCCCTTCTTCTTGCTCCTGTCCTCCCACTGTAGTTCTTCTAGCTCCTGGAGCTGCTACCACCAGCAGTCTCAGGGTTACTAAATATGGTCTGTCTTTAGGCTGTGGCCCTTGGGCCCATGTTACCGGGTGGACCTCCTSTTTACTTTTAAGAGACCACTTGTCCCAGTTTTTCTTTGCTCTTACCTTCTGGCTGCTCATTCTTAGTCTCCTTCATGGTTATCTCTCTTCACTTTGATCCTCACTTCATGCTCTTTTCCATACTCAGTCTGTCCCTTTATCCCTTCTTGCCCCCTCTGCTGTATCTCTTCTCCAGGTAATGACGTCCTTTCCCATATGTGAACCCAGTAATCCTGAAAGTCAGTCTTCACTGTGGGTAGGCTCTTTATCTTTTTTGGATTCAAATCTCTTGTGTCTTGACTGCCAACCCACAAGCTTTCCTTGAATATCCCGTAAGCTGAATTCATCCAAAGCATAACCTATCATCCTTTGTCTTTTCTGCCAACCTTTCTTTTTGATAACAGCTTTATTGAGATGTAATTGACATACTATAAAACTAACCCATTTTGAAGTATACAGTTTAATGGTTTTTAGTAAATGTGGAGAGTTTATACAGCTGTCACCCAATCCAGTTTTAGAACATTTCTCCCCAGATCCTCTGGATCCTGTTGGGATTACAGGTGTACGCCACCACACCTAGCTAAAAATTATGTTCAATTTTTTTAAGAAACTGATAAAGCTGTTGTCTAAAGTGGCTACACCATGTGTTCCCCTTAGTGTCTTCACCAATACTTGGTATTATTTCTTTTTTAGTATAATCATTTTAATGGGTGTGCAGTGACAGTGCAATTTTAATTTATCTTTTCATGTGTTTATTAGCTGTTTATATATTTGGTGAAATTCTGTTCATGTTTCTTGCCCATTTTACTATCATGCCTTTTTATTTCTTGTTTCATATTTTTTAATATCCCTGAAGAGGATGCACTGTTTGTGGAGGTGCTGCAATACCAGGTTGATGTGTGGTGTAGACAGAGCAAGATCCTATTTCATCTCCCTGCTCCAAAAATCCATTTAATATATTGTCCTATAAGAACAGATACTACACTTGATCTTAGCTGAAAGGCTAAGAAGCGATCATCATGCCTTTTTAAAAATAATAGTTTTATTGAGATATAATTCACTTGCTATATAGTTAGTTCACAGTGTGCAATTCATTGATTTCAGTATATTCTTAAGGTTGTGGAACTATCACCACATCAACTTTAAAATATTTTTGTACCCTAAAAGACTCTGTTCCCATTATTGGTCATTCCTCATTTGCCCCCAATCTTCCCAGCACTAGGCAACTACTTTCCCATGAATGTGCCACTTATACATTTCATGTAAATGGAATCATACAGTATAAAAGATCATCCATGTTCTGGCAGGGGCTGTAGCTCAGTGGCAGAGCGCTTGCATAACGTGTGAGGGACTGGGTTCGAGCTTTAGTACCACATAAAAATAAACAAAGGCATTCTGTCCATCTATAACAACATACTCAGGCACACAAAAATAAAATAAAATAAAATAAAAAAGATCATCCATGTTGTACCTAAATATGAATCTCATCTTTTTGTTGCTGAGTAAGCTACTATTATATGGATATACCACATTTTATTTATCCATTTATCAGTTAATAGACATTAGTGCTGTTTGTACTTTTTGGCTGTTGTGACTAGTGCTGCTATGAATATTCAGATACAAATTGCCCTTTCTTCCCCTGTAGATGAGGGTTTAGAAGATAATTAAATACGTAAACCATTTGTGTGACACACTAGCCAGATTACATGTCCTTACCGAATCAAAGTGATGAGAGCAGGCATTTATGCCTTTTTTCCTACTGTTGGGTGCAGAGGAAAGAGGCAGTCAGGTACCCAGGGCCAACCCTGTTCTGGTATCAGTGTTTGCTGCTGAGTGTAACCTGATGCCTGTTCAGAGGGCCCCCAACCTGGAGAGTCTCATTGGCCTCTGCACATGCTGCTTCTCCCTTTCTGCACACCTGCCTCCTGACCTGGATATTGCAACACCCACCCAAGTCACCTCCTGTCCTCAGCTCCACCTACAGACCTCTCCCCATAATACTTTATGCTCCCCAGAAGGATCTTTTAAAATACAGTCCTTATTTCAAATTCCTGGTTAAAACTTTTGGTGATCCCTCATGCCTCTGGGGCAAGTTCTGGGCCCCCTTAACTGGTCATCAATTGCCTCTGGGTGATCTGTCTTCTGTCCATGTCTCGGGGCCCCCCCCCTTACCATCCTGCCATCTATCCTTTCCTGAGGAGCTCCTTGAAGGCCTTGTTACCACTTGGGCTCTTGCTTGGCCTCTGCCTCTCCCTTTGCCTGGAATCTCTCTCCCCTTCCTTGATTTTCTGACTCCCGGTCATGCATTTGTTTGTTTACTCAGCAAATGTTTACTGAACATCTGCTCCTGCCAGGCCTCGTGCAGTGGATCTCATGTGATACTTGAACCTAGTGGAGGCAGCAGAGTTCAAGCAGCACTGATCAACTGTGGTACAGCTTTGAGTGAGGATTGGCAGGATGCCATTCTGGAAGCTCTTTCTCATGCTATTACCTCTGAAGCCCCTGTATGTACCTACCGCTTCCTTGCTTTTGTCAGATGCAGACAGTATCCACCTTGTCTCCATCACTCTCTACTCTGGGCTCCTGAGGGCAGGACTCACATATCTTTCTCATATTTGTGTCTTCAGGGCAGGTACAGACCTGGTGTAGCTATTCATTGACTGAGTGAATGAATGAACAGCCCATTACTTCCAAGTTTCTGTGAAACTGGTGACCTGCCCTTTACTTGTTRGCACTTTTGATACCAGGGACCTGCTTCTGCTCTGTTTCCCAGGTCTCCCTCCTTCTGGGTGAGCCCTTCTTCACCACCAGCCTGCTGCCGTGGCACAACCTGTACTTCTGGTATGTCCGGACCGCTGTGGACCAGCACCTAAAGCCTGGTGCTGTGGTGATGCCCCAGGCTGCCTCACTGCACGCTATGGTCGTGGAGTTCAGGGTAGGCAACCCAGAGAGCTTTGCAAAAAAACAAAAGCAGAAGGGTGGCGAATCTGATTTTTTGCAGAGACCTTGGGTGCAGATGGAACAACTTAGGCCTTGATGACTTGGGCTTTTCTTTTCATATCAGTGCACCACAGGGCTGAATAGGAGAAGCTTGCCATTTTAGAAAGCAGTAATTTGACATATGAAATGGAAATGGCTGTGTGTTGTCATTTCACAATTGTGGCTTATCAGAATAATTAAAAAATATAAATTAAGTGTTTCAGAAGACAAGCTGTGCTGCTTGCTCTGCTCTCATTAAGAGCGGAGGCTCKGTTGTTAAAGCATTCTGAGATGGGGAGTCAGCTTCTTTATGCAAGAAGAAATTGAAAAGCTTCATTTTAATTTTCTCATCAAAGCAGAACCACAGTCATAGTCATTTTGGGAAAGGCATTTTTTATTAAAAGGATTTTGAAATGCTTTTAACCTGAAATGTAGAATGAATAGCGTTTGATATTTCTTTCATAAGAATAGCTCTGTCTGTTGGTAGCTTTGTGGTCCATCACTTAATTTCTGGACATTTCTTCTGTATTTTTTACCTGATAAAATTTTCAGGTGAATTCTGGTTCTCATGGCCAAAGAAGAGCTATAGAGAAGGATGCATATCCCTAGGTTCTATGTACCAGGAAGCAGAGGACAGAGATGGAATATCAGAGTGGACCTTTTCCTTGCCATCATTCTTGTGTTTCGCTTAYGGCACTGAGCCTTGGAGAATTGCTTTACTTGGAGAGTTAAAAAAAAAAAAAAATGCCAGGGTGGTCTGGACAGGAAGTGCCAAACTGTAGCCCGGTAGCTCTGACTGGTTGTTCCATAGAGGAAAGAATGTAGTATCATAGAAGTTTATAGATTCCCAGTCAAGTCTTAACTGAAACTGCCCTGGCTCTTTGGTCTCTTTGTCCCTTCAGGCTTGGGAAATCTGTCCCAAGTGTGCAGCAGGAACAGTAAGATTTGCCTCTGGTTTTGCTGGCCTCTTGACCCTTTTGTTCTTGTCATCACATTTCTCTGTGGCTCTGGTTAGCYATAGACAGGTCTATACTTTGCTCACAGGACCTGTGGCGGATCCGGAGCCCCTGTGGTGACTGTGAAGGCTTTGACGTGCAYATCATGGATGACATGATTAAGGTAAGTATGGCACTGTCCAACTCATCCTTTCCACATGGCCCCAGTCCTGGCTTGGGTGGCAGAGGAGTGTGCAGAGAGCTTTTCTCTTTCGGGCAGAAGTCACATGTGCTGCCTGTTCTTGGCCCTGTGCTACAACCTCTGATTCAAAATCTTGGGCCAGGGTCTATATGTACATCACCACACCATTGAAACTGTTCCTACTAATGTCAACAGCTTGTTTCTGTTGGGGCAGCCTTCCTGCAAGGCAGTTGGGTAACTTGTGGCATTTTCATTTGGGGGTTACTTTCTAGGGGAGAGCGCTTGAGCATGGGGAGCATGTGCAAGGAGGTCCATCCTGCAGTGTTGTGAAGTRTAGCCCTGTGGTGTGTATGTTGTACTTTTGTACTTTCCCAGTGCAGTGTATAGTAGATGTTGGCAACACCCTGAATGTCCAACAGTGGTGGGTGACCACCAGGGTCTGTGTCCCCTACAACCCARGGCAGTCATGACAACCACACTGGTATGTGTCTCTGTGAAGTTTGATCTGAAGAGTTGTGACATGTTTACACATCCACACAAGGATGTCATGGTCCTATTTTTATGATTAAAAAATTCACATTTACGTACAGGGAGAAGAAGGTGAAATAGTGGGCACTGCTGTGTTAGCTGTGCAATCAGAGAGTGGAGACCTTCCCCCCTTGTGCTTATCTTTCAGTTAACATTTTTGTATGTGAACATGGATTGCTGTATAAACATATTTTAAGCAAATAAATCCTGTGGGTATTTTCCATTTATATCTCACCTTCCCTTCCCTAGAAGTCTACTGATTATCCATGCTTCTAGAAATTTCATTTTTAATAAATCTCCTTTGTGCCAAGAAACTGCATGCATAATCTCTGGATCCCTCTGCTGTCTCTGGTTACTCCTGAGATTCCTTCCTAAGCACCCACCACCCTGCCTCATCTGAAGTGTCACATATTCTGTGTCTTGCTTTGGTCCCTGCTCCTGATTCTGCCTACCTGTGCTGTCCCCTGTCCCCTTTGTAGATGATAAGGCTCTGCCACTCTGGTGTCTGGTCAGTATCTGCCTCCCTCCCCACCTTCTCTGATTAGAATTTAACCTTTATTTTTTATTTATTTGTTTTTTATGTGGGGCTAAGGATCAAACCCAAGCCTCACCTATGCTAAGCAAGTGCTCTACCACTGAGCTGCAACTCCAGCCTAGTGTCTATGTCTCTCTCTTGCGTGCAGACCAGATAGCTGAGAGTGGCAGACATCTCCATTAGACTTGTACTGCCCCAGCCCCAGTGCATCTGCCCTTCTGCCTTCAGCCCAGCGCCTTCCAGTGCTCCTACCTAAGACCTGGCATCTCTTCAGGGACATCTTCCTTCCCAACTTGCAGTTGGTTGTTTGATTCCCAGGGAGCCTCCAATCCAGTTTTTTCCCCATACTGCTGTAGATTCTGTCAGGGCCCCTTTGGGCTACAGCCTCCTGCTGCTCCTGCTTCCTCTACCTGGAGCCCATGTAGATCCTGAAGCTGGCCATGTTCCTTCTCTGGGAAAGGCCTGTCCCCAAGCCCTCCAAAGTAACCTGGGGCTGCTCCTGCCTTCTTTCCCTGCTTGGTTCTTGTTCAGCCATCCCCTCTCCCACACCATTCCCACCCAGATGCCAATGCTTTCTCAGGCACTGGGCCTGCTTGCTTACGTGTTCATTTCTCCCCATCCCAGCCTCTGAGCCTCCTGTCAGTGATCTCACAGTTTTAGTGGTCAGTATCAGTGAACAGGTAAGTGTCTAAGCACCAGATGTTTCACCAACATAGACATTTGGTCCACAGAATAGCTCAAGAGTAGGCATTGTCCTCACAGGTAAAAGGGTAGAAAGTGAGGCTTAGAGAAGTGAAGTGAGCCAGCCAGTGAGTGGGCAGGGAAGGGAGAGCGAGAAGCCAACTGACCAGGTGCCTGGTGATGTTCTGTGAGAACATGCTGCTCCATGTGACTGCAGTTTTCCTCAGGGACTGGGCTGTAGAGTTGAGGGGGTCCCTGGCATGAATCCTGGAGAGTCCCTCTGGCTCTAAGCTCAGCTCTACCTGCCCTTCCCCATTTCCTTCTCTCAGTCTGCCCTGGATTTCCGAGAGAGCAAAGAGGCAGAGCCCCACCCGCTGTGGGAATACCCTTGCCGMAGCCTCTCAGAACCCCAGAGGCTCCTGACCTTTGATTTTCGGCAGCCCGTTCCCCAGCAGCCTGTGTGTGCTGAGGGCTCCATGGAGCTGAGGAGGTGAGTGGAGACTCTGGGAGGGTGTTGGGGTGGAGGAAGTAGGGGCTGCTTTCCCTCTAGCAGTTACTGCCCATATAGCAAAGTACAGCTTGCCTGGGAGACACTTCTGGCCCGTGGCATGTCCTCATCTCATCCTTGCCCTTCTTGCATGTATGGTGGGTCCCACAGCCTCAGGGAGGAGGACTCCAAGTGGGTCTTCCTCATACCCCTATCTGAGCTCCCCTGCACGATCAACTATAGAGAATGAGAGCTTGGTTGCTATGGTTACCCACTGGACTGTTTTCCTGAACTCTCCTGGGATTAAAGCAGGTTAGGATTGGTGAGAGCTGCTTGCTGTGAGCCTGAGAGACCCTACCCAGCTCCAGCTTCCTTCATGTAGAAGAGTGCCTCCTAATACTTGCGGAAGCCCTGAGACCAGAGCTCCCAGGGCTCTGTGCACCAGGTGACAGCACAGGCAGGCAGGACTGATGCCTGGCTGTCTTCCAGTGTATCTGGGAGGAGCCTGGCTCTATACCACTGGTCCTCTGCCTGTAGGGGCTGACCTGCAGCACACAGCTCTGCCCTGCTGTGATTCTGAGTGCTTGGCTAGGTGCAAGGAATGAAGGGGAATCTGAGCTGCGGCTGCTCTTGCTATGCTTTTTATGTGTGGCCTTTATTTAGGTGGGKTGTGGAGAGTTAGGAGCACCGAACTGGATGGGATGGGAATGGTAAAGACCAGGCATTTCAGGAAAGCAGAGGGGAGCCTGGCCTGTACTCCCCCATTTCTGTGTGACTCTCTGTTTGACCCATCACTACAGGCCTGGGAGAAGTCATGGGATTGTCCTATGGATGGAATACCACCTGACACCAGACAGCACTGTTAGCACTGGCCTTCTGGAGCCTGTCRAAGACAAGGTAGTGCCGTGTGCACCAAACTCAGAGTGTGCCGACCTCCCCTCGTGCTCTGGGTATTTCTGTTCTGTGTTCTTAAAGCCAGATAGCTACTCAGTGGTCACCTGGCCCCCTAAGCAGTTTTGGTTTTTTTCCCCACTGCAAGCTTCTGGGCTGGAGGCTGACCAGGAAGGTGGTTCTGGTGCCAGGGACCTTCTCCATCTCTTGATGCTCTTCCTACAGGGGAACTGTTGCTGGAACCCCCACTGCAAGCAGGCCGTGTACTTTCTCAGCCCCACACTGGATCCTAGAGTGCCACTGCTGGGCAGCCCTCGGGCAGTCACCTATACTGTGGAGTTTCACCCCAAYACCGGAGATATCACCATGGAGTTCAAACTTACAGACATACCAGATTGACCCCTACTCGTTGAAATAAAGTGGTCTTAAGGCTGTGGGCTCTGAATGGGTTGTGGCTTTTGCGTGGAAGGGAGGTTGAAGGTGCTTGTCTACTTCAAGGGACCTGCTTGCCCTTGGCACAGAGGGGACATTGTCTGTTTTTGCAGCTTTGCGCTGCTGGCTTCCAGCTCCAGGCACAACAGGCAGTATGGGCCAGTATTTGAAGCCATGGAAAGGCCAGAGAAGCTACCCTGTTTGTGGTCCTGAGCACTCAGAAGGTTCTGGCGCAGTGATGTCTCCTGCCCTAACTACAATGGCATAGAGGCACAGGGCCCTCTTAGCCAGGCACTGCTCCTAGAGCAGCCTGCCTAGCCTATCTGCTTTCTGGGGTTTCCAGGTCCCTGCCCATCTGGCTTCACTAGGAGAGCCTTCAAGGGAGTGGAGATGCTGAGCTGAGCTGTGGCTGGGCTCCTGGGGCTTGAAGATCCTAGTGGAATCAAGGTTGAGAGGACTGGGTTCTGGCCCTTTCTGCACTGGGTAGTTACATGAAGTTATATCCATAGGTACCTGGGCATCTGGCTTCAGTACATATCGGCAGATGGCCTGCCAATCCCCAAGACCCATACCAGAGAAGAGACTGTCTCAGAGCAGTTCCCGAAGGGCAGCCCTGGGAAATCAGCCATCAGGAAGTGCAGCCCTTTCCCATGTGCCCCTTTGTATCTATTGGAATGCCTCTGCCACCCCCTCAAAAGTGGAGCAGATGGAGTGTGTGTGGTACAGATCACCCCAGCTCTGCTTCAGCAGGGACAGCCAGCAGTGCCTGCAGAGGCTTTCCTCACACACTCAGCATGCCCTTTAGCTCTTGACCTTTAGTTCTCAAAGAAAGTGGGAGACATCCAAGAGAACTCAGATGACCTGGGGACCTGGCATTTGGAAGCAGACTTGAGTTGTGTCCCCATAGTCATCTCTCCTTGCCCCAGGCTGCCCAATCCCCAGGTCTGGAGCCTGCAGGGTCTGCTTCAGCTTGTCACTCAAATAAGCACAGAACACCAGCCTTGAGCCTCACAGTTTTATTTTCTCCTCATTCTCCATCCTTCCTTTCAGCACCATAAAGGAAAAAAACCACCTCTCTTTTCAAAATATTTTATCAGGTGTAAAGATTGTTTTTCTTCTAGGGAAGAATCATCTGGATATATAGTTGATAATGTTTTTACCAAAACCTTAGGTGTCTTACCATATAAAACCCCTAATGTCCCATGAGGATACAATACAGAAAAAAATACAGAAATTAAAAAAGTTTTTTTTTCTTCTTTTTAAAACAGTATTTCTAAATCTCAGCAAGTTAATACAATAGTTAAAAAGCATCAAGGTTAATATTCATACCTAAAACTCAAGGTGGTTTTGGACAAATGAAAATGAACATTTCCTTCCTAAGCTGTTCCCACCTGCCTCATAGCTTCCCTTGAGATCTGGGTGACCCCTGTGACCACCTCCTCCCAGGCCTTAGATGCCACAGAATCTGAGATCTTGGCAATATTTTGTTTCTTTTTTAAAAAAATCGAAGTGGAAAAGCCTGGCTGTCACAAGCCCTGAGAGACCACAGGCACTCTGCCATGAAATGGCTGGCAGGTGGTCTGAGCTTCAGCACTGAGGGAGGTATGAGGGGATCAGGGAGGCAGGATGTCCCTCCTCTGGATGTCAGGACCTAAGCAGACAGAGGCCACCTTGGGATGACAGAAAATGACYGAGGCACAGGGCAGTGTGACTTGCCTAAGGCCGCCCTGGGATTTGRGAGGGAGAAAAGCATGTGGCCCTGACTCCACACTGCCCTCACCCTCAGGGACATAAACTGCTAAAGTCTGGTTTAGGGGCCTAGCCTTGGCTGGGCTGCTCTCCCTGTGTGCACAGCAGCTTAGGTCCTGGGGTTGGCCCTGCCCAGGCAAACCTTGCATGTGTATTTGGTTGCTCCCAAGAGTGGAGGACCTTCTACTCCATAAAGCCTCAGCAAGGCCCTGGGAGGCCAGGCCCTTGCAGGGTAGGGGCAGGGCAGAGACCCCAGGCAGAACTGCCCTTGCATGAGCAGTTGCTTCCTGGCTCTGGGCTTGCAGGGATGGGACAGGAGGCCTGGGTAGGGGAAGTTCTTCCCAGACCAGGTGGTCAACCAGATCGAGTGTCACTGTGGATGGATGTCCCAGCGCCAAGCTGCCCAGGCTCTGCAGGAATCTTCCTCCCCAGCAGAGGGCCTGGCATCTGGCTGGCTGTTTGCCCCTTCTAGGCCTCTCTTGCTGCTCAGCGGGTGACAAGGCACAGCTTCAGTGCACCAGCACCAGGAAGTCCAGACAGCAGGGTCCTGGTGCTGCCCCCAGCCTTGCCAGGCAAAGCTGGCTACAAGATCAGGGAACTKCAAGACCAGTGGGAATTTTCAAAAACAGTCCCTCAGATTGGAGCCTGGCACCTTGAAACAGAAGCCTTCCTGTGTGACTGGGGAACGGCCCCTGCTGTCTAAAGGCAGGTGGCAAGAGGCAGTGCTTCTGTGGGGCCTGAGCAGCTGCAGGCCTCCTCCCCAGGCCCAAGGCAGATGGGGGACAGTGGGCTGCTGGCCAGCTCTGCTGTACCAAGCCTGGGGTTGACCCTGGTTGCACAATGGCAGAGTGGCTTGTGTATGCCTGGATGCCAGCCAGTACAACTCCCTTCCCCAAGCCAGCAGTGGCCTGACCACCCTAGCCTGCACACCAGTGAGGAACAGGTTGCTCTCCACACCTTGGCCTCCTGCCCCTCGATCCAGGGTGCCCCAGAGCCATGACATTGGCTGGGGGCACTGTAGTGGATGGGCCTGGGCCTGGGAGGTCAGAGCTGCAACCCCCCTGGGGGGCAGGCAGGCTTTTCCTGAGCTCAGCCGCATGTGGATAGGGAAAGTCCCCAGGGATTGGTCCCGAACCAGAGAGGTGTCTGGAGGGAAGCAAGGGGCTGCAGAAGAAAGAAGAGGACATGTTGGCTTTGATAGAAGAGAAGAAGCTACAAATCTGTCATTTTCAAAAGCAGGCCCCCAMCCCTGTATGCTGTTGAGTCCCCTTTCTGTAAAAAAAAAAAAAAAAAAGTGATGCCCTCTTGGATTTCTACTTATGGCTCCATAACACAGATTGGAGACTCCTGGAGGAGGCACCTGGTGGCCGGAGCCAGCTGGACCCTGGTGTGTCTGGGCTGGGGAAGGGACCCTGTATTGGGAAGAGCAAAGTTCTACCTAGCAACGTGCAAACCCTTTAAAGTGAAGGGTGATTTTGTTTTAACTTTTTATGTTTTCTTTTTAAAATGTAATCGCCCTTGAATGCAAGACCCTGGGAAGAGTCCTGGGCTGGCTAGTAAGGACACAGCCCTCACGTCCCGCAGCACAGTCGGCTGGTGGTGGAAGGCTGGTGGCCGTGCCCAGGAAGTGCTTCTTTGGCTGGTTCTGATTGTGTTTGGAGTTTGGCCTTGGGTGAGGCCTGAGCAGGGGGTCTGGGTGGCTACAGTGTGGCATGTGGCATGCGGGCAGCGTGCATGCGAGGGTGCAGGCATGCGAGACAACATGGGCAGCAGACAAAAGTAATGAACCCTGGACGAAGCTTGAGAAGAGATACAGAGAGTACATAACCCAGTCCTCCTACTAACCCTCGGCTCACAAACTAGGTTGTGCTGTAGATCTGTAGAAAATCATGTTTGGAAAGAATGGCACTGGTTAGGCAGCCAGGGGCTCCTGGGCTGGCCTAAGTCCTCTGTCCTTGGAGGGGCCCAGAGGCACAGAGAAGCGCTGCTTCCAGGCTCCCCAGGGACTGACAGGGGCTCCTTCCCTGTCCCCTACCCTCCTCCCCCCAGCACTGGGCACTCAATGGAGGGGACATGGCCCAGGGATGGGCTACGCCTCAAAGGGCTGACAGAGGCCCTGCTGCTCCAGATGCCGGCAAGTTAGCTGGTCTACGCCTCCTCCTCCCCTGCAGACACCATCAGCCGCATGGCCACCGGAAGGTGGTCCGTCAGGCCAGACAGTTGAGTGATAAAACTGAATTCTTCCACTTCCTGAGTTGGGGGGAGGGAGAGAGGAAGCATTCTGATTAGTCCCAAAGGACATCCTGCAAATGAGGGGTCTGGGGGCAGAAGATGGCAACCTCGGGGTCCCCAAATGTGGCCTCCAGGCTGGGGTTGTGCCAATGGGGCCTAACGGTCTGAGGGAATCACAGCTCTCATTTTAAAAGAGCATGGACTGGGGGTGGGGTCCGAAGAGAGCCTCAGTGCTGTTGAGGGCTGCGGGGCCTGTCCCCAACTCACGGCCTTCCAGTCGGGGCACAGCCCCTCCTCGGCATGCAGCATGTAGTCGATGCGACGTCCATTGCCCTTTAGCAGGTCCTTCCGCCCCTTCTGACCAGACCCGGGACTCTTGCTAGTGGGGAAAGCCAGGTACTCCCTGCGGCCTTCCTCGCTCTCCAGGACCCTGTTGATGGACAGGAATCAAGGTGAGGTTCCCACACCTCCTCCTCCCCTGCAGACACCATCAGGAACTTGCAGGCCCTGTGTTCTTTCTAAAGTGAGAGAGGAGTAGGTCAGACCAAACTTCTGGCTCAAGTTCTGTCTTCTCTGTCGCTCCACAAAAGACACAGGCTGCAGGGAAGCCAAGACAGAGCCTGTTGAGTTTCTGGCTGAGGGGGGCCCTCTGGGATCTGTCACAGGCTGTCCTGTGCCCATCTCGAGCTGGCCAGACCTTGCTGTCCCATCTGAACTCAGATGTTGATCTCGGTACTCTCCTGGCTGTAGTCAGGTTGGGCCCCTACTTGCTCTCCAGAAGGGTCTTCTGCTCCAAGTCAATACAGACCCTTTTGGGGAACGTGGTCTTTGCCACAAGCTTCACGGACCTGTCTTTCCTGGAAGCCTCTGTTCCTCCCACCCCATGACTATTTCAGGTGGCAGGAAGCTGAGGGAGACAGGAGAGTACCAGGCCCCATCAGAAGACTCAACTTATATGGATCTGTCTCTAAGCAACAGTGCTATCCAGATTATGTCCCCAAACCCATGAGCCTCAATTTCCTCCTCTGTGAA